GATCTGTCTGATCCAAACAGATCAACTGAACTCTGAGTGTTTTACCCTGAGCGGTCCAGTTTTTTTGGGGGGGGGGAGAAATTTACTCTTTTTTTCTATCTGCAATATCTGCAAAATCTTCTTCTGAATTTCCCTTTAGCAGAAATGAAAGTTATTTTCATTATGCAATAATTAATAAGTACTACTGAAGCATTAATCCAAAGTCTTTTAAAATAGTTCTCACTTCTTGAACTTTATCTCCTTGAGATTTTGCTACATTTCAACCACAAAATATAACACATTGCATAGTATTTTATCCACAAATTTACCCTAGTAGTGTGGAAATAAGCCAGAGGAAGTTCTGTTTGCAGTTTACCACAAACTACATATGATTAATGTAGTTTCCCCACAGGGAAACATGGTGGTGGCAGCATCATGCTGTGTGGCTGTTATAATTCAGCAGAAACAGGGAATCTCCTTAGAAAAGACTGGAAGACGGATGGAGCTAAATAATGGAGACTCTTCTTCCTGCAGGGCAACAGCTCCAAACATTCAGGCAGAGCTGCTGTTAAATCTGAGAAGTTTCATATTTTTCTAACAACTCGCTCTCTGTGTCGGAGCAGTTCACCAGGTGGCAGATAAAGTGGAAGCCCTGGGTCAGTTTGTCATGAAAACCCGCAGGACTCTGAAGGGACACGGCAACAAAGTCCTGTGCATGGACTGGTGCAAGGACAAAAGGAGAATCGTCAGTTCCTCACAGGTCGGGTTTCCTTCCTTCTCCTGCTCGGATTTTATCTGCTGCCCATTTTTAAACCAGTTTTTTTATTTTTTTACTTTTTTTTTTGTTTGTTTAAGGAATTTGATTTCCCAGTTTATAAATGTCTGTTCTGTTTTAATGCAGGATGGAAAAGTGATCGTATGGGATGCTTTCACCACTAACAAGGTAATCCTCTATTCCAGTTCATGAAGCATTTTATGGTACAAGCCGCAGACAGAGGCTTGTACCATAAACTTCTTATGGACAGATTGATATTTTATGTACAAAGAGAACATTAATACTCTTATTAATGAATTCATTTTGTAGAAATTCATCATGTCATTCATATGACAAAGAATTAATATGTTTCATGTTTATTCAGATCTGGAAAACATGTGTAAAATGCCTTAAAACTGTGTAAGATCCCTGAAAATGTCCCACCATGAGTTTTATCTAAATACGTCACCAATCATTTGAAAAGCCTCTGCAAAGGATCAAGACACAAACATAATTCCTGTTTAATGCTTTTAGGGAATGTCTCACTTTATTTAGGTGCGGGAGGTCTTTTTTTTTTTTTTTGCATATTACTACAAAAAGCTGTGTTTTTTTGCACTTTTAAAGTGGATTATAGTGCTCACAATTCTGCAGGCTTACTGTAGGTTTTTTAAAGTTTGGTATCTGGAAGATATTTGTACTTGGTTTTATTTTTATCCGGTCCTTTTACCTGACTCTGACACCATATCGTTCACTATGTGCTTAAAAACAAGGAATGTGAAAAAGAGAAAAGAAGGAGTAACAGACTTAAAACACTTTCTACAGTAGACTTGTTATATGAAACAGTGAATATATCCACAGTAAAAACCTGACAGGACCAGAGCTGTACATCATTCATTTCTCAGNTTCAATAANAAAACGTTAAAAAAGTATTAAATCTCTGTTTTTATGAAAGGAAACAACATACTAGACAAGCAAAGAGAAGTAAGGAAACATAACATTTAATACCCAGAGTTAAAACTTGTCTACATTTAATCCAAAATATTCTTCCTTTATTTATTTTTGGAAGATGCTGAATACATCTTGTATCCATGCTCCTGTGTGTCCTGTTTTCATCATGCCGAGCGATTCGTCGCCTCGCTCACGCTGCTTTGTGTTTCGATGTTCATTAGGAGCACGCTGTGACAATGCCTTGCACCTGGGTGATGGCCTGCGCCTACGCTCCATCTGGCTGCGCTGTAGCTTGTGGGTGAGTTTGCTACAACCCTTGGCAATCTGAACCTGCTGCTCATTTAGTGCTTGGTGAACTGGGCCTGTTTTCTGTCACAGGGGCCTGGATAATAAATGCTCTGTGTACCCTCTGTCTCTGGACAAGAACGAGAACTTGGCAGCGAAGAAGAAGTCGGTGGCGATGCACACGAATTACCTGTCTGCCTGTAGCTTCACCAACTCAGACATGCAGGTGAGAATATAAAAAAAAAAAAAAAAAAAAACGGCAACATGGCACCCTAATTCTGTTAATGATTCACAGGAGCGTGAGTCCTGGTCACATGATGTTTCTCACAGCAAACACAAAGCAACAGCCTCTTCGATTCAATTCAGTTTCAGTTTAGTTTATTTAGTGGACACCATTTGCTTTTTAGGCTCTGACTGAAGAAAAATGGATTGTATTTGGTGATGTTAGAATAAACGGGTCTGTATTTTTCACCATTACTTTCAGTTTTGCAACACTTTTCATACTTATGCACTCGTTTGTGTTGGTTTTATCACATAAATCATACAAATAAAATACATTCAAGTTTATGGTTGTGGACGATGTGAAATGGTTCAAAGGGCGTGAATCCAGTTCTCCTTCCTCTTGTCTGCTTGTGTCGAAGATCCTGACGTCCAGCGGGGACGGGACGTGTGCATTGTGGGATGTGGAAAGCGGGCAGCTGCTGCAGAGTTTCCATGGCCATGCTGCAGACGTGCTCTGTCTGGACCTGGCCCCGTCTGAGACTGGAAACACGTTTGTTTCAGGGGTGAGGACTGCCTCCGCACCGCTCTGTCTGCGGCTTGTTAACACTTTGAAAGCTTGTTTTTGCTCATTGTACCTCGACTCTCACGGCAGGGCTGCGACAAGAAGGTCAACGTGTGGGACATGCGTTCGGGACAGTGCATTCAGTCATTTGAAACTCATGAATCTGACATAAATAGCGTGCGGTATGTAACTGTCTTACCCCAGGCTCATTTTATTGTTTGATTTTTCACTGTTGAAAATGTGAAGCTTTTTATAGTTTTTATAATTTTCTCCCCTTGTTTTAATACAGATACTATCCAAGTGGAGATGCTTTTGCATCTGGTTCAGATGATGCCACAGTAAGTACTCCACTAAAAACCTGTGTAAAGTGCATTACTTTTGCCTCAAAAATTCAAATTTCCCCTTTTTGTTTCAGTGCCGCCTGTACGACTTGAGGGCCGACAGAGAAGTTGCCATTTACTCCAAGGAGAGCATCATCTTTGGGGTCTCCAGCGTCGATTTCTCGCTCAGTGGTATAAATTTCCAGCTCCGGATTCTGATGTCATCTGCACTGCATGCAGTTACTGCTTCCAGAAAACACAAAATATGTTTGTGTCTGTGTATGACCTCCTAAGGTCGGCTACTGTTTGGCGGCTATAACGACTACACCATAAACGTGTGGGACGTTTTGAAAGGAACTCGGGTCTCCATCCTGTTCGGACATGAAAACCGGGTCAGCACTCTGCGCGTCTCCCCCGACGGGACGGCCTTCTGCACAGGATCCTGGGATCACACTCTCCGGGTATGAAGGACGACAGGTTTCTCTCTAGTTGATCGTTTCTGCACTCTTTACCAACTTTCAGCGATTATACCTGCTGTTTTGTTTCTCCTTTTGTTCCAGATTTGGGCCTAAACGTGCTCCATTTGAAACCACTGAAGGCACACAGACGTTTCTGTTTGCTAGCGTACAATCAGCGAGATAGAGACTCAGTTTTGGTTGTACATAGGGCATATCAATAGAATTGTATATAATCTTGTCCTTTGGTCAGGGTAGATTTAAATATTTCTGAGATGTTAAACTAACCGGCACGCTTGCATTACAATGTCACTGAAAGAAAATAGCACAGAAATATTTAATATGTTACAGAAAATATGAATGGTAGAGACTTGCACTGGTGTAGGGTAGAAGTGACAATAAAGTATTGTATTGTGTGTGCCCACATAACGGACAATATTTATTTGTTTTCTTCACCGGTGGTAATGAAAGATGCAGTCTGAGGAGGAAAACCAAACAAATCTAACGGGGTATGAGGAGAGCCCCTCCTGTAGGGCTACGATTGGAGAAAATTATTATTTAATACTTAATTAAAAAAATTATTAGAAATGGCCAATGGGCAGTAGTGAGAGTTGACGTAAAATACAACAAATAAAACTGGTGAAAAAAGGTTTAAAAAATTAATAAACTCTGTATTTTTAGCAGCCTTAGCAAACTGAAGTAAATAAATTACATTTATGCTTAGAGTTTATAATTTTGATTTTGTAATTTTGCAATAATAAACCAGGCTTTTTTATTTTATGTTGTTCAGTTCTTCAAGACAGCTTCTCAGCATAAATATTCAGTCATAATAAGCCACTTTCTTTTTTTTAAGGACTCCAGCTTCTAATTCAAGTACTTCTATGTTACATTTGAGAAAGATTACAAGAATGTACTCCTTCCCAAGCAACTGCGTGATGGCTGTAATTTCATATTCACTGTAATTATTTTGCTGTAGTTTAGTGTACAGATATAAAAGGGACTGTTATTCAGAATATTATAAATCTAATAAACCAAGTTTTGAATATCTATATGTGTCCATCACTTCGATATATGTCACAGGGATTTGTTTTACTAAAAATGATTTTTTAAAGTTTATTTTTATGTACAAAGTAATAGCTCTAAGTAAGATCCTACTTGATATTACTTATTTGAGTAGCACAACATTTCATTTCAGCAAACTATGAAAAAAAATATGAATAAAAAAGAACAGAAAACAAAATAAAGCAAAAATAATTTGGTAGGTACTAAATGTCTTTCTGGTGTGAACTCACAATCAGTAAAAAAAAAATATACGACACTAGGGGGCACCATTTCGTACCTAGAAATTTTTTTTTCTAAAACTTAAGCTGCAAAAGTAGCCTACGAAATAGCAAAGAATGGTAAAAAAAAAAAAAAAAAAACTAAGATCATTCCATTAATAGCCAGAATTTGGAATTTTCAAATATGGACTTGAACATATTTTCCTTTATTTGCCAAAGTTACATTTCATAATCATAGGAAAATATTTTAAGGCTTTTGATACAAATACTAGTACTTATTATCTTAGACCAGGGGAGTCAAACTCATTTTGGTTTAGGGGCCGCATACAGCTTAATCTGATCTGCAGGGGGCCACACAAGTAAACTCATTGCAAGATTAAATAGAACCAATAAAAGTGGACTTGTTGTTGGTTTTTATACTAAACGAATTGGACTTTTACAAAATATATTATGAATAATCTCAGTTTTTAAGAAAGGTATCTGCAATTTCAACAATACTTGTACTC